CGAATCATCAAAACCTTACCTGTCAAATATGCCTCGCAATTCTGAAATAAACAACTTTATAGAATCATCTTCAAAGTTCCGTTCGATCCGCGCCAAGCGAATAAACATTACGACGTTTAACACGAGGACCAGAGTAACTCTAAAATATTTCGTTACCTTCAAACATTTAATCAAAACAAAATTTGTGGTACACTGCTGTGATTATATGAATATTTAGACAACAAACTTTTCAACGTACTCGCCTTATCTCACCTCCAGAAAACAACAATGTGATGTTACATCATGCTTCATGTTGTCTTTGGGGGGGGGCACGAATGGTCGTCCATAATCTTTCCATCCAGGTTATGTAGTCAGAGTAAATTCCGCTTGACAGATTTTTCTTTAAAGACACTAGGATACCCAGCAGTCTTACTAGTTTTTTCGGCGGCCAGTGGCTTGTTTTTTCCAGGTAGACCTGCAAGGGTTAGGAGAGTAAGCCAATTTTGATGGCGCATTATCATTTCGGGTTGCGAAAGCAGCAAGAGCATCTCCAACGGTCCTGATTTGGTGTAACGTCTGAGCTATGAGACAAGATGAACAGAATCCGTCGACGCATGTCCCAATTCATTCTTGGCCCCCTTTCAGGGTCGTTGGTCGACCGGTGGAGCAAACAGTAGCTGCTTCGCCTTTCTGCAAGAATTCGTAAAAGGTGGCCAAACCATCGCAGTGGTGATTTATCAATCTAGACAAGTAGCCGCTGGTAACCAAGCCTTTTTCATGTATCTGAACTATGAACGGTGCAGAGACGCGTGTGTCAGCGCTTCACCTCAGGAAAACTATTTATACAAAGAATCACAGTTTTTGGTCATGGCAAACGACTCATGACCGGAGGTGAGCATGGGGATGAAGATCGAAGAACACCGAGAGCACAGTCTTCAGACTCAGGTTTGCTTTAGTCACAACGGTTCGGAATAGTTCATGCAGAAAGTTGGCAGAGTACACTCGGAAATTACTTGTATCAAATCTGACTCTGACGAAACCTACTCGAATTGTCTCCAATAGCCACAAAGCGGACAAAAGCTTGGCATTTTGGTGTACTGTCGAAGTATCTGCTAATTTCTAGAAATAACGTAGAAATACTTATTTTCACAGTCAATCGATCCGCGGTCTATTATAACGAACTTAGCTAAATTTGCCTGGTCCGCAAATCTGAACTTTGGCGTATACCACTTGCAGTCAAATCTTCTTAGCAGCTTCTGATGCTAACTAAAACTTGGACGCGTCGATCAAAGAACTGACTCTCCGATCTCGCGTTTGTCAACAATCGTAGCTGTCAGAACACAGAGAGAAAAGACTGATCAACTTGCTTGTACCCCGAAGAGCCGTCCAGGAAAGCAAAATAACGCCAAATCTGAACGGAAGTTTTTTTCTCATATTCGGGAAAAAAACATTTTTTCCAAATATTGCTTAGTTTTTCCTTTGTAACGGGCTTTTCGTCTCCTTTCAAGAGTATATAAAAAATAAGTTTGAACTTAAACGCGTCTACTACGTGAATAAATCAGCTACCACAGAACCTGCTACCAGGAACGACGTCAAGATTCCTTTAACCACGAGAGTAAACACGTTCGATATGCATACTCTGTAACGATACATCAGGTAAATCCCCCAAAAAGATCATATGAGACTAATAGCAAAACAGCACGTATAACAATGTTAATTTAACAGTCTGATTGCTAAAACTTACATGACAATCAACGTCTTGCTGTTCAGCGTGAAGAGTTCTGAAAAATAACTACTGGAGCGTCGAACTGAAAGAAGATTAACCCTCACTATAAAACGAAATAAACTGAAAAGGAGGCACGCAATACTCTTTTTGGCAAATGCATCGGCTGAAAGAGCCTCCGACTGAGGCTTGACCGCTGCCGGTGCAGAAGTGTCTGGCAAAACCGTACTGCTCAGACCCAACCTCGAACATTCAAGCTTCAAACAACGCCCTAAATTCCGCACGTCAAAGGGGAAAGCAATAAATTTTAGAACGCGAAGGTCAGGAGTAACAATCAAGCAAGCTATTAGGTAAAGTTTCAACCCTAGGCAAGCTATTTCAAACCGCCTCATGTTACAAGTTATGCTGTTGAAGCCTTATCGATATGACAATACGCGTATTCTCTGAAATTAGCTTCCAGGAAAACAAGGCGCTGGATTTGAATCCAAGTGTATATATTATAAATATCTGCTGAATTTAAATCGATAATTTTTATATACCGTTTAAATAATATAGAATGGATTCTGGGGATTCGGGTCTTTGTTTAAACTGGAGCAACGGAGCTAGCTAGCGAATCACATGCGAGAAAAGTCAAACTTGGTACTATGATTGCCGTCTGGATCACGAGCCTTCAATTCCTTATTGGCATCAGGATTGTGGTTTGCGAGAAGGTCCAGTAGTTCCTGAGCTGCAGGGAGGAAACGTGTGCAGATTAACTTAACTCGAAAAAGTTGAATATACAACGCAACAACTTTGGGAAATGGGTGACGTGTAAGGCTATCAACATCTGTTAAAGCACAGAAAAGGTGAACGAGGAGCGATCATCGTAAGCTTTCACCTATTTACCAACCGTACAGTACACTCACTCTGTTGTGACAACTTCCGGAATACACCTTTTTGGACGAACAATCTTGGGACATTTATAATTCACGCAAAAGTAAGTTTGCTTTTATTATTAATTTGTAAGTTAATGCACCAGTTAACATACTCCAGTGAATGAATACATTTTCTGACGATTACACGGTAGCACAGAAGAAATAACAGTTCCTAAAATGTCGTTTGTGATGATTATGAGGTTAGTCTAGCGAACTGAAGCAAGAGGCGCTCGAGTAACGTGCAGACGTGACCTAGTCAAATGTCAGTGTTAGCCAAAACATGCCTTCTTTGTTTTAAGCTTTAAGCACGTCACAGAGAAATGATTCCAGCAGCCTTGTCACTTTTCAGAATTTTTACGGCTTCTGTGACTTGTCTATTGGAAGGCTATCTGTCGTCTGCTTGTCTTCAGGCGAGTCTTCTTGCGGTTGCTCTGGGTTAACTAGTTTCTAAGGTACTGTCTCTATTGTCGACGTAAACCCTCATTCTTCTTAACAAGAATCCCGAACTTGCCTTTCAGGACTCTTGGATAGTCTTCCTTTCCATGTTGGCGATGGCGGATCGTCTGCCATAATACACTGCTTGCTGTTTGAAAATTCAACTGAATCCAGCGCCTCACAGAAACTTTCGCAGGAATCATCTTACAATTTAGCCGCTGCTTCTTCCTGGCATTCGAGTTAACGTTTCCTGCCTTCAAAGTCATCACTTGAACGCTCTTTTCTTTTCGTTGACAGCCAATGAAACCTCTGGTGTCCATTGGGAAGTTCACTCTAAACCGGAGGCCGTAGCCTAACCAGTTTGATGCAGCATTCGTAGGAGCCGCTATGTAAACTGCTCTAAAACAGCTTCCTCTCAATTTCCATGTCATCTGTCATCAATCATCTGTTCAAACCGTCGTGCGATGTTGTTAACAATTTTCGCTTTTGTTTCCGAAGAAGATAATGCTTCCCGCTCGATTCTCTGGTTGCTTCTTTCGCCAGGTCTTTGCACGGTATTCCATCATTTACAGCAGAGGGCTCCAACAACAACGTGGTGATAGTCTGACAGCTCTGCACCTCTCTTAACGTAAACTTTATTACACAGCATCGGAAGTCTGACGATAAAATCATCAAGTCGATCGTCGACTTCTGTGCAAA